ATTCACTAAGAGGGTGCTCCAAACCCAGCCATAGCAGTGGTGAACAGCAGCTTCAGGCAATATTCACAAATTTTTTTCTCCAACAACCCCCTCACCGTGTTTGTTTTTGTTTTGGTTGCTTGCACCTAGCTCCCTGAGAGTTTTCTCTCATGCTGTCATTGGCTACTGCTCATTGCTGCTCTGGCTAAAGGAGCTCCCACTACAAGATTGTGTCGCTAAACTGTTCACGCTACATGAACGGTTGTCACTGGCGCATGCAGCGATTTGCCACTGAGCTGATAGGGTTTGTCAGTTACTCGAACTGTAAGCTGCTACTGCCGAAACGACTACCACACTTGGCAAAGCTTGCTGGTTTTGTCTTGTGATGTCAGTTCAGTGTGCAACAGTGTTAGCCTGCCTGTGACAGCATTTCTGTAATTCAGAGGATTCAGTGACATTTGGAGGAAAAGAGTTAAGTGTGAAATGTATTTGAGTTTGGAACATTTTTACTTACCACAGGAAGTGATAGCGCCATTTTTCAAAAAACAGCATTCATTTTTTCCATAGAGAAAATTGAGGTAGTCCAGAGAGGCCATGAGGTAGTTCTAATTTTCTGGATTGTTGTCTTGAGATAATTAATTATCTTGAAATAACAAGTTAATTTCTTGTTATCTTGAGATAACAAGATCAAGATAGCAAAGTTGTAATCTTGATAACAAGTTAACTGTCTCATGATCAAAGTTGTTATCTTGAGATAACAAGTTAGTTATCTCGTGATCTCAAGATAACAAAGTTGTTATCTCGAAATCTCAAGACAGTTAACTCGTTATCTCAAGAAAACAATCCAGAAAATTATAACAGCTCATGGCCTCTCCGGACCTCTGTAGAAAATGGCTTAGACCCAGAGTTCCTAATGTGGGCATGATGTCAACTTCAGAATGATTACATCTCTTCAGAGGGTGTCTTTCTCTTCTTTATCCCCACCTCTCTCTCTCTCTCTCTTTCTCTCTCTCTTCCTTCTATCTCTGTCTCTTTCTCTCTCTCTCCTTCGCTTCATGACCTCTTCCTCCTTCACATCTTTCTCCAGGCGTGATGAGACAAAAAACACGATGCTTGAATGTTTCTATTTAAACTCTGTGTGTCTTGGAGTGAAATCTGTTATAGTGATGAACAGGACCATATGGCCCAGGCTTTGTCCTTGGGGTGCTAAAAAGCAGATCGAAGCAAGTTTTTATCCGCCACAGCATATGCACTTTGTGCTTCCCTGTTGCTGTTTTTATTTGTAAAACTGTTTTATCAGTCTCGCCTTGTAAAAACTTCAGTTTATGTGCACAGTTAACATTCATATTGCTTGAAATATACTTGCATTGCTTTTAATAGTAATATTTTAGGAGGACATTGACACTTGTAAACTTCAATTTATGTGCACAGTTAACAGTCTTTCACCTGAGGTGTACTTGAAATGCTCTCAACACTAGATTTTCTGTAGGACATCAGAACTTTACTGCTACCATATTGTTGGTTGAATCAGACCGAGTGAGGATTAGTGGGGAAAGGAATCATTTGGTGTATTTGAGAGTTCATGTCCTGTATATCTGCTTGTATATCTCCTTACATTTGCTGTATTGGTCAGAGTGCACAGGTTTCAAGAGTGAGAAGAAAAGAAGTTGTAACTTTAATCAAACATACTAAGCCAATGAAAGAGGACATTTCGAGCCTTTCAGGTCCCTCAAAGGGTGCATTAAACACATACACACACACACACACACACACACACACACACACACACACACACACACACACACACACACCTCCCACTCACATATTTGCCAGTTGTAATGTGCTGAACATCACGCTGATGGAAGACCATGGTTCACCCTTGCTCACATCGTAGCGGTGGTTTTGGAGGCCACAGCTTGATTTGCTTTAGACATCTTAAACATCTGAACAAACCACAAGGCCAGACATTCAAAACACGGGAGGAATAACCCAACATTTTTCTACAAAACAAAAGATTTTCAGAGTTTTTAAAGCAATTTTAATGTTGATTTTTGGTCAAAGGCAGACTTCTAAAGGTACTGTGCCAAAATGTCCCCAAGAGGCTTGAAAAGAATGAGAAAAGAAGATTACTTTTACAAAAAATCTAATATAGTTACATAATATTCACCAACAATAATATTCTGCGCTAATATTTTTATCTTATAGCAAGACATGATTTAAAAAATGATAATAATAAAAATCCTCTTATAACTTGCATAGGACTGTTTACTGCTGCACGCTCATTTGAATGATGTGGGTAGTGATGCATTTCTATGCATCATAGCATTCAACTGGTGCTGAGCATAGGATAATAGAATACTAGCTATCAAGCTAATAGGCGAACGTCAGTTTTATGCTGAAATATGTGAAAATACTTATACATAATTCATAAAGTAAGTCAAAGATGTGATGTCATTTCATGCTTGAGCTTGAATAGGACTATTTTGAACTCAAATCCAAATGTAGTTCTATGCCCTGTGTAATCCTCTGGCTAGAAACGTTCAATTCAGTTCAAATGTATCGTCTTCTAACATATACACAAGTGTACAGTATTATCAAATGTGCTGTTAGGCTATTCTCATGTCTATACATATATATGTAGCATCACAGTCTACTTTATTTCATGACACCTGTATTTCATGATTGTGCCCAAAATATCCAGCTGCAGGACAGAAGTGTCGTTCATTACTGTTTTAGCTAAGTCAAGAAATGTGTGCTTCCTTTTTAAGTCATTGTTTCATGTCCCAATAAATGTCTCTGAGGCATTTCTGGGACAACATGCAGTTTGCAGCTGTCACTACAGTCAAGTGAAGCTGAAAGAACAGGAATGTTACAAGCAGAAACATCTTGAGAAAGTGCAGTGCTTCAAAGGACAGATGAGTATGACATCATAATCACTGTCTGAAAAGCCCAGCTATTGTTGAAATCCATGTCTGTGAAATGCAACCAGATTGATGAGTGGGCAGCTGAACATCAGAGGTTGGTGCTAAAAGACCCATTTTAACTTGCTTACACTTTATATTTTCTTTAGAAATGTATATATTCTGCCATACACTGGCACAAAAGGGTGTGAGTATCCTGTCAATAAGCATTATTTACATTTTTTTATTTATTCCTGCATTTCTATAGGATGTGATAAGCATTAAATGTATTATCTGTTTACATTTTGCTGGTAGTTTTGTTCAGAAGTCCCTCAAAGCATCATAGGGTGGATTAATATATGGTATCACAGTCACAAAAAGTGGGCAAAAATTATCCTTACAGTACAAAAAGTGTTTAAAAACTATTCTTACAATACAAATGTGTTGAAAAGCTATTCATACAGTACAGTATTTGGTTAAGTTGTCCTTACAGTACAACATGTGTGCAAAAGTTATCATTACACTAAAAAAAGTCTGCAAAAATCATTCTCGCAGTACAAAATGTGTTTAAAAACTATCATTACAGTACAAATGTGTTGAAAAGCTGTCCATGCAGTACAAATTGTGTTTAAAAATTATGCTTACAGTACAAAATGTATGCAGAAGTCATGCTTGCAGGGGGCCTAAACCTTGGATTTCGCATCCTGTTACAACACAGCAGTAACCGTAACTATGAGTCATTGATTAAATGTCAACTTTGGAACAGGAAAAAAATGGAACTAAGATTTATAAAATGTGGAACTCATAATGAAAAAAAAGCAGTAAGGTCCAATATAACTTACTTCTTACTGTTTTAATGATCTTTCAAAATCAGAACACCGTTTGCAGGTTGTGTATTTATATAATGTTGTATTGCATGTTTTGTTGTTTTCATGCATTGAAGTCTTGTTCATACACCTTTTCATGCTTCAAGTCCATATGCAGCAGTGATTTATTTTTTTTTATTTTTTTTTTTTTGATTAGGTCAGAAAAGCATATGGCTCAACGTTATGGTTATTTGTTAACCTGGAATTTGATTGGTCAGTATCAGAAACGGAAATTTGAGTGTCACATATGTAGTGAGTTAATTCTTAATTTGTGTTTTTGTTTTATTTATTAATGAGATTTTAATACTGAAAGTTCATTTGGGCAGTGATTTTTGGGGAGGGGCATTGAAAGTGGGTGGACACCAGTCATACGGCCACCACTGCTTACAGTACTCTGTAGTAGCAACACTGTCTGTACAGCAAGGTTCAGTCACAGTTTAAAGGTCATCTAGTAGTGTTCAGTTCAGTGTTGTGTTCAGTGTTGGAGTGGACAAATATGTAATATATCAAAAAGCCTGACATCATATCACTAACAGAACCCTTTTTTGGTGTTATATAGAACCTTTTAAAAAGGTTCTGTATAGAACCATATACAACACCTTCTCCATCAATCTGAAGAACCATTTCACTATGCACAGAACCCTTTAATCATGCAAATGGTTCTTTGTGTGTTCATAGATATAAAACCATTTTCTTTACTAAAGAACCCTTGAAGAACCATCTTTTTTAAGAGTGTGTGTGTGACTGGGACCTTCTGTCCAATGACCGCTGGGATAGGCTCCAGCTTCCCCCCACAACCCAGAAGGATAAGCGATTTAGATGTGTGTGTGTGTGTGTGTGTGTGTGTGTGTGTGTGTGTGTGTGTGCGTGTGCGTGTGCGTGTGTGTGTGTGTGTGTGCGCGTGTGTGTGCATGTGTGTGTGAGACAGGGAGGGGGGGAAAGCTCCAGAACTGGAATAACATTGGACTGTCCCTTTAATGAAGAAGGTAGCTTCAGCCTGTGCTAGACAAGGGCACACTGAGTTAAGGTCACATGCCTACATGCACTGTTGTGCTGTTGAAAGTGAACAAGGTCCTCAGTCATTGTCTGGAGAAGCACTATGATGGTCATATTTACTGTAGGCAAAAAAATGGAGCTGCAGGGTTTGAAAACGGGGTGAGTGACACAGGACTAAATTGGATAATGGCTGTGTTATGTATGCATACATTGTATTTATCTCTCTCTCTCTCTCTCTGTCTCTGTCCCCCTCCCTCAGGGCTGCGGTGTCGCTCGGCCACGGCAGCTACTGCTTTGCCCTGCTGCGTTCCATCCCTGCTGTGTTTTATGTAGTGCTGGTCACAGCGCTGCGCTATCATCTCTTCATCTGGAGCGTGTTCTCCCCTAAGCTCCTCTACGAGGCCATGCACACTCTGGTCACTGCAGCCGTGTGCCTGTTCTTTACCTTCATGGACCAGGACCGCACATGAAGACCGTGAGCTCCGGACCCTCCTGACCTAGAATCCTTGTATCCAACCCCAAACTCAGTCTCAGGAACAGTGGGATGTGGAAGTATGCAGAACATTAGAGGATGGAGTAGTTTGTCACCCTGATGAAGAAAGAGGAGGTGGTGAGATGGATGAAAGGGTATTGGATGATGTTGCACCATTGAAGAGAAAGCAATGAATGGATGAGGAGAGATGAGAGAAGCAAGTTACGAATTAAAAGCAATAAGCGAGCTCTAATCTCGCACTATGAAATATACTCTGAAGTTCTCTGGAGATTTTGCAACAAATGCACAAAAGATCTCTGGCTTGATTCTGATAAAATAAATAAGATTTATTCTTAACTTATTTTTGTACTGCAGAAGGGTGGGGGTAATTTATTGTGGTTGATGCTTGAGGGAATTGAGTGCATTACAGAACAGCACAAATTCCCCCAGTGCTTAAACAAACTACATGTAAGATTTTTTTTTCTTCCACTGATAATTATTCATAAATAAGTTCCCAGCATGAAAGGAGCATGTGTTCCCCACAGGCTTTTTGCTTCGAGTATCTGTGCCAAGAGTGCTCACAGGAAATCAGACTTACCATGAACAACGTGACAAAGTTTAGAAAAAAAGCATTGTTCACTGTTTAATCTGACATGTAGTTTCTTTAATCGCTGTTCTTTTATGCTTGAAAGATAAGGAAGAAGAGAATATGAAAAAATGATTATGATATAGATCATCCTAACCCTTCTTTCACCTTTTAAATGAGATGTCTCAGCAGTTATCTGTTTTTTCTCCATATTTTCCATTCTCCTAAACTCTCAGTCCAAAATCTCTGGAGCATTTTTATGATACTGAAGCTTCAAAGGAATAAAATCTTATCAAACTACAGCTATGCACATTATAATAGCTTAAAATGAGACAGTCTCAGAGCATAAACGAATTGATTATTATGCAGCATTACATAACTTTTCCCTTTAATTAGCATGTAGATCGGATTGCTTATGAAGCAACTGTGTAATGTGTCAGCAGTGAGTTTAGTCACTTCATTGAGTTTAGTTTAACCTCTGCTTTGAATTTTTTTTAAGGGTAAATGATCTAATATCAATAATTGTCATGTGGTGAGTGGCAGTGGGTATTTACTAAATTGCTAACCTTTCAGTTAGAGGAGCATTAAGGGTGTTTTTCCACTGTACAAATGACCAGATTCTTTAGTTCTGGAAAACTGGAATTGTACTTTTTCCACTGGGCATTGGTCTAGCACCGAAAGTTCCAGTTTAATGGTTTCTGCTTAAGTCTGGTACCAACAGAGCCTAATGGCACTCAAGATGTTCTCCTCTGTCTTTGTTAAGACTTGCGTGTGAAACCAGCATCAGTTTATCAAATCTCTTCACTCTTCCAGGTGAAGATAAAGTCACAAAGCACTGTTACACCACCATAACACACCAATCTAAACTAGGATGTTATGTTGATGTGTGGATTGGTTTTTGTTTTAGAAAGAGTTTGCAAGGGTAAGCCAGTGAAAGGCTAACACTATTAGCATTTTATGCCTACAAGATGTTTTTGCTCATATTTTCATGACAAAGAAAACTAATAGCTTTGATTCTGAATGTAATTCTGTGTAATTGTACACAGTTGTTTGTGTGAATATGTAGAACAGTGGGGTACATTGTTTCAGCTCACTGTAACTAGCAAGCAAGGTAGCTAATTAGCCAACGTAAATGCTTAAGATTTAATAATGATTATTATAGTGATTCCAGCTGTTGGTCAAGTAGGTGAAAAATTAACTACAAATAGAAGTTCCATTGGTTCCCATTTGGCTCAGTTCTTGTTTTTAATGTGCAGTAGAAAAACGTTTTTTTGGATCATACTTTTTTTTTTCAAATTATAGAAGGTATTTAGTGCATTAATCGTTTAGTTCCCATCATTGTTGTTTGTGCAGAGATGTTCAAAAATGCCCCACTGTTCTGGATTTCTTCAAATTCATCAAAGGACCATCAATTTTCCCATATGTTTTCGCTTGCATTGTTTACTTGTTTGTGTTTGGTTATAATTGCAATGAGCACATTGATGAAACTGTGATCAGGCAGACTGAAGCATTCAGAGCAGTTTGGTCTGACACTGTGAAATACAGGGCAAGTCTTGATTAGTGCACATTTTATGTATTGTCTCATTCATGGTGATAATTCCTACCTTTCATGACCTCTGCTCTGCCCTGCCGATAGCCATCTGGGAATGGACAGCATGTGTGGGCCCTGCTTTGCTTATCAGCCCTTTTCAGTAGCAGAGTGAGGTCGATTTTCTAATCGACTGCCTTACCAAATGGACTGCACTCTCCATGGAATTGGGAAAAAACAGCTTACATACACACACACACACACACATTCTCTCTTACTCACTGTACGTGACCTTAGGGCCCCGTATGACCTGTAGGACCCTCTGACTTACAAGAGGTAATGAGTTCATGGCTTCAGACCAAACCTCTCTCTGTGCTGAGATTCAGAGCAGACCTCTAGGGCTACACACTATGGATAGAGTACAAGTATTGTGATTTTGTTTCTACATATATTGCAATCGCAAGTAAAAACATTGTGATTGTTTAGAGCAGTCATTCGCATATTGCAGCCTTCTGCAGTGTTAGTGTTGCAAAAGCCAGTATATATAATGAACAAAATATTGTGCAGCCCTACTCTTTACTACTGTGTGAACATACAAGGTGATCTTACATGCCATAAGGAAAATGTACTGATAGAGTTCATGAATTTCTGTTTTTATTTTGAGTTCAGTGATTTGCTGATTGTGTGTTCTTTGGGTGGTTACAGGTGATCATTTTAGGTTTGCAATTAAAAAGCGTCCTGTGTTTTCTTTGCTGACCATAATATGTAGTATTGTTTGTTTTTGATATTTTTGGAGTTATATTTTATTGCCGTGTTTTGTAGAGCCTTCTTTATTACAGGTTGTTGGTCTCACACTATATGTCCAAAAGTATCAAGTCACTTCTTCTCATTGGTGAATTTAACCCCCCCCCCCAGCTTTGGGCTGTGGAGCAGTGGAAGTGTGTTCTCTAAAGTGATGGAGCACTTTGGGATAAGTTGGAGTGATCTGGCTCTAATCATCTAACATCAGTACCTGACCGACCTTATGCTCTTGTGGCTGGAGGAAATCAAGTCCTGACAGTAATGTTCCAACATCTAGTGTGAAGCCGTTCCAGAAGAGTAGAGGCTGTTACTGTAGCAAAGGGGGAGAAATTTTTGTATAATTGAATTGTTAAGATATGAATAAAGTCATTAAGAGTGGTTTGATGTGAAATGCCTCACTCTAAAGACACTTACCAGTTCATAATTGTTCAAAGTGGTGGTGATAGGAACCAGACATCTGAAGATGCCTCTAAAAGTTCCTTCATAGACAGTTATTAGATGAAATCATTACAAATAATTTGTCAGATGCCTGCGACATTTCTCTGGCCTACAACTTCATTTTTTAAATCCATTAATGGAGAAGAGGAGCATTTGGGTTAAAATAGCACCTGAAGAAAACATATTGTTTCTAATTTATCTCTATTTTACCATTATATAAAACCTCACCTCATGTAGGTGCACTGGTGAATTTGAATAGTATATAAAATGGTTATATTTGTGTTGAAGACATTGTGAGCCCTGTTTCCTATCACCACCACTGTAAAAAAAAAAAGTGTATGTTTTTCTAAAATAAAGCATTTCACATCAAACCACTGAATGACTGTTTACATCTGAAAGATTAATTGATGCAGAAATTACCCATTGATACCTTTTATTTCAGAAGAAACATTGAATAAGCAAGTGTCTACAAACTTTTGGACATATAGTATATTTTGGTTTATGTTTTTCAGAGTGCTTTCCTGGTTCACTTTGTTGGAATGGAAGTATTGTTTATTTCCTCTTCTCCCTGTACGCTTACCTGGTTCAGTCCATTTAAATGCACCTGACTGTGTGTTTGTTGTTTTGTGTTTGTGCAGTTGTCAGGGCTTCAGCTCCAGGTTTATGGTTCAGTCTCAGGTTAGCCAGCCTGGGGAGTCCCTCCCACCTTCTTTTTCTCTCCTTTTATATCGGCTCACATAACTGAAAAGTGAAAACTCTGAAGGACAGTTAGCTGATCTAGCCAGGAGGGCCAGGGCAGAACATACAAAGAGAGCCGAGGCAGCTCAGGGCCGCTTAGCCCCTCGCTACAAACGAGCATGAATCCATTCTCTCTCTCTCTCTCTGTCTCTGTCTCTGTCTCTGTCTCTCTGTCTCTCTGTCTCTCTCTCTCTCTAGGCCTTTTTTTTTACTCAGGGATTACATTTGGGGAGGGGAAATGTTAAGCACAGAGGAGTTAACTGATGATTCTTTAGGAGCTTTTCAGCGCCCCACTGCCCGCTCTCTCTCCCTGTATCCCCCTGTCAGCGGCCTTTTGAAGGCCCGTCTCCTGCCTGTCTCCCATACTGCCTCTCTGAGCCTCTTATCAGCTCCAGAACAGAGTCACATTGCACCCAGCAGAGGCTGTCCACTCCCAGACCCCCCTCTGCCCTCATTCTATACCTCCCTTTGCTCTCTGTCTGTCTTTCCCCTTCATTTTCCCATTTCCTTCCCACTGTCTTTGGACTCTGCCTCTTTCTTTCTCTCTCCGTTTCTTCTTCAGTCCCAGCGTTTCTTCCTTGGTCCCCGCACTGGTGGACTCTCTTACTATTCATTCCCTTTTCTCACTCCCTTGTTTACCTCTCTTCCCTCTGTTCTCTCTCCCTCTCTCTCTCTCTCTCTCTCTCTTTCTCTCTCTCTCTCTCTCCCTCTCTCCCTCTCTCCCTCTCTCTCTCCCTCCCTCCCTCCCTAAACCTCCCTTCCCTAAACCTCCCTTCCCTGTAATAAAACCTCAAGTGGCTTATTGCTTTTATAAAACAGCAACCAACAGAAAATATGATAAAATACACAATTTTTCTGAAAATAATTAATTATATTTAGTATTTGACATAAACAAGTATTCCGCCAAGAAATGTAGTTCCTTTAGAGTATGGTGTTGTTGCCAAGCAAACATGGACCGCTGAATGAGGAGAATGTTTGGACGCTCATCACTGTGTATTGCAGTCATGAGTTCATTTTAACTTTTCGACGTGTAACAATGAACATATGATAACGCAGCACTGATTAATGCAAAAACCCCCGGTTTATAAGTACTTTTGGTCACCAAATTACCACTGAGTCTTATTTAGCACTAATCCAGCAGCGCCCCTCTTCTCACGCTGTGGCTGAATCTCAAACAGCTCCATGCTCCCTACATAGTGCACTACCTAGGAATTTTAATTCAGGATGCTGCACCCCAACAGTGCATAATATGGCTTAAAAATAGTAATTTTCCATACTCAATAAACTTTGCACTATTTGGCTGTAGAGGCTCAACTTTCATAGCTAGCACACTATTTAGGGAGTACGGGCCGTTTGGAATTCAGCCTGGGTTTGACAGTACTTCTGACTGAAACATGGACATCTGAAGCATGTAAGCCATTCACATGACATTCTTTAGAACTATACTGTTGTTTACAGTGAATCATATCATAAGTACTTTAATTGAACCCTGTGATATTAATGATGTCATTAATGAAGTCACTAATACTTCAGCACATGTTACATGTTCTAAAATGCAGTTACGAATGCCATTAAACTGTATGGAATATAATACTGATGATATTAGTGAGGTCTTCAGTTTGTACTGAAGACTTCACTGCATGCAAATTGACTGCATGCAAATTGACTTGAAAACTAAAAACTTTTTACTATCTGCTTACTGATGACCAAAACTGCACTTTCGATTGTGGAACACATCTTGAAGTGTTAATGACTTATTAACATCTTATTAGCTTTATAACAGTAAACTCCAGATATCACTTGATGCCGACTAGACCATATAGGAATCAAATGCTGCAAATACAAGAAAAGGCACAACAGGCTCTTAATAAAGTGTTTGTTGTGTGTTATTACAACTAATAATGTGATTATTAGTGATAGTGGACAACCAATTATATACTAATGAATAAAGCTCATTGCATAGGGAGTAAACCTTTTAGAAGTGTCTAATTCTGACTTCATCCAAAACGTGTTCCTTAAAATACCCATCTCTCTCTCCCTCTCCCTCTCCCTCTCTCCCTCCCAATTCTTTATAGCTGAATTACCTAATTAATTATAGTACTAGTATAGTAGAAGTACTAGGAGACACAGAGATAATAATTATAATAACAATAATAATAATATTAATAATAATAATGAGATTGTAGGGGATCTAATCCTGTAGCAAATCTGTCCTGAAACAGTACATGTTCACATTGTGCGATGTTTTTTTGAGCATGATGTTCAAGTATTAGTAGATGTTTATCTTTAGTTAATGGCTCATTTTAAAGTTTACCACTTTTTTTCCAAGACAAAAGAAACTCAAGTTTCTAATATCTGTCTCGGCATCTGAAAAGAAAAAGTAGTAGTATTTTGACAATAATAAAAATAAGAACCACTTTTTTGCTGCCCCTTTTGTTCTCTCTTTCTCCTGTTGTTCTCCTGAAGTCCCTATCACCTCTGCTTTGAAACCCTGAGCACATCTCAGTCCCTCAGCTCTGCTCTCTCCTCCTCTCTCATTATTGTTCACCTCCTCCACTTTATTCATGCTGTAGGAGAGAAACTCTGTGAGAGAGAGAGAGGGGGGGGGCAGAGGGAGAGAGATGGTGGTGGAGTGAAGGAAAGGAGAGAGGGAAGATAGATGTATTCTCCTCATGCCAGAAGGTGACAGTCTCAGTGGTTTAATGTGCAGGGGCTGCCATCCTTCCCCTGACGTCTGCGATGGAGAGTAGCTGGGAGGCAGAGGTGTAGGTGGGTGGAAATGTATCAGCGCTGACTGTCAGCCAAGCAAAAAGCCCATGCGTTATTTTTTTTTTTCTCGCGGAAAGCTTCAAATTGCGAAAGTTTCACTCTTGGGTGACTGTGGATGGCGGCTGCAGATAGCGATTTCCCCCGTCTAATCCCCCCATTTAGCCTGAGTTTACTGTGCAAATTGGCTGGCTGGAACGCAGGCAGGCAGAATGGAGCATTGAGCAGCCATCCGTGACTTCATTTGGAAGCTGACGGAAGCGCACAGCTCACTCTAGTTCTCACACTCACACAGTAAGAAGCCTTTGACCAGCGCACCTTCTGGAGGTTCCATTTCACATTATTTATTTAGCCATTTACTTCCACCTAATGCAGCAAATGGCTTTAGTGAAAGCTGTGTTAGCTGCGAGAGACCAGCTGCTGGACTTTGCCTACCAGTCTGTTCAGTCACCCTTGGCCTGCACCCCTGTATTGTTTTTAGCAGTGCTCGGTCGAACTCCATTTGGTCTGAAATTGACTCTTTTTCAGATGTCATGTTCTTTAGCATCCTAGCCTCAAGACTTATTATTCACACATTCATCTTAAGACTCATTATTGAGTAACTACTGTGATTCACTTGGTATCTATGAGCCTGTTTACACCTTACATTGAGATGTGTTTCGGGTCCAGGTTGTATCTAAATAAACAGATTCAATTTACACTTTTCACTAAAATTCGTCCCCAGTTTGACCAGATGTGATCCGATTTTAGTTTCCCCATATAGAAAGCACATCAACACATATGTCGTCTTTCCTTGGACACCTTTACCGGCCCAAAGTGCAAGAAGGCACTTGGTTTGGGGATAACTCCAGCCTCACATGTCTTCCATCTTTCATTTATTGTTTATTCTCTCACCTGCTAGTCAGCACTCAGCACACGCATTTCTGTTCATGTCATTGTATACAGATCATTCTGTTTACACTTGTGTTAAATGGGGCCAAGATCCAGTTTGAGTGATCCGACTGCAGTCTGATCACCTA